CTTGTGCTTTGCAAGAATTGTGGGTTTTTTCTTGAACATCATTTATTCAAGACAATATAAATGACTCTTTAAATTAAAAAAGCTCTGAAATTATGACCAGTGCCAGAGAAGAATCTGACCCCAAATGGGTTGTCTGAGATGGAACATGCGGTCGCGCTGGTGGGGATCACAGCACTGCTGCTCCAGAGCTGACCTCTTTGTTTTCCTATTAGGAAGAAATATGCCTATGTATTTCCTAGATTAATCTTAGAATCAAATTTACTTCTAAGGGATGGAAGGAAACAGAAAAATAAGTGCACCTTGGAGCCCATGTAAACGTATTTTCCTTAAGTAAAAAAGAAAATTCATCCATACAGTTCAATAGGTAACTGATGAAATTGTCTTTTGTCTAGGAGGGACTTCATAATTTATGATTATTCAGGAGCAGGGCTGGTATTTCATTGCATTTTAAAAAATCAACCATACAGATTGTAGGGTCACAGAAGTAAGACTAAGTCTACCAGAGCATGTTTTACTTCTATTATTATTCTAATAATTGTAATTTTGACCTGTATTGCAGTAAGAACCTGGAAATGATGGCAGGAACACAGAATACTTACTTTCTAGACTAAAATTAAAGAAAAGGTACTTTCTAGGCAGTGCACCTCTGCAACACACATAGAAAACTTTAAAAATAAGTTATACAAGGCTCAGCCTGGTCTGAGCCATCCCCATTTCCTTTCCTTGAGCACATCTGTCTCCAGTGTCAGGTTACTAGTGCACATTCCTTCTGCTTGCTGACTACCATTTTCTTCCGGAGCACTGTCTCCCCCCAGGCAGGAAAAGCAGTGAGCACTAATAGGTAGGGAAGTGGATTATTTTTTCCACCAGAAAAAAACATAAAATGGCAAACAGGAGGAATAGAGTTTTGTTTCTAGGTAGGTTTTCATTTCCAAGCACAGATAAAAATCAGGACAGAGTGTATCATTTTCTCCCAAAATCATAATTTTTGAGCTAATGGGTTTTGCCTGGAAAAAGTAGTCTTCATGATTACAGTCAACAAAGAAGGCAAACATTGTATTTGGCATCTGGTGCTGTACCCTGGGCTGAAGAAAAAACATCCTTTATATTCATGGTAGGCACATAGACCCTATAAAACCATGAGATAATAATCCCAGTGAAACTTGTGGTAAAAAAAAAAAAAATCACAGACACCTAAACAACATTTCAAAATTTATCCCTGTGAGCATTTCTTGGTCAACCTCTTGCTTTCAAGCGGTTACTCACATGATCTTTCTGCATTTTTAAAATTTTGTTTGTTGCACAGCCCACTTATCATCTTGCAATGTAACAGAAAGGAGCAAGGAAAAGCTGAGAACTTTCCCTAGTGATACTTGCAATTTGACTCAAAGATATGCTTCACAAAATTCCTTTGACCCATAAACATGTTTATCCCAGATCTTGTCCGGTTAGTGAAATAATTCCTCTGGATCAGCAGGATGGATTAATTTGGGGAAAACTAAGTTAGAAAATCTGACTAGAAACTCTGGTATCATATCTTATCTGACAGCTTCATGTCAAAATAAACAATTTTCACTTATTACCAGTTACTATCACTGCTGAGCATTCAGCATGCTTTCTTATGAAACAGTGGAGATCCACAATGATCTGTGTATTTTTACAGGCTTCTAGGAGGGGAAGAGCTATTGTCCAAGGGGTATCTGAGATACCATGATTGAAAACAGTACTGCCACATATAGCAATTAATTCCTGTACTTTAGAAGCATCACTTAACATTTTATATTCATAGCATGTGAAAGCTGTTTTGAAATATTAATGATAAACACTAGAGTTTATAACAATGTGCTGGCCTTCAAACCAAAAGCAGTATTCAATTTCTGACTAACAGAGCAATAGGGAATGCTAATTAATCTCTTACTCCATACTTGGAGGTGACCAATTATCTTTCTCTCCTGTTGCAATCATCCAAGTTTATTCTATTTCTTAATACTGTATATTTTACTGCTTCCTCACATTATTTCATCTTTTGTTCTTCCAGTGACTTGTTCTTTCATTTATTGAGGTAATTTTTATTCTTCTATATGTGACAAAATGATTTGATATTCCCTCAGCCACTTTTCCCTTATTTCTTCCAATCTTTTTGTTAGAAACCATGTTTTCAACACTTTTTCCCCAAATAAGACTGTAGCAGTCACTCTACTGAAAGTGCCACCCAGAAGAATTCATAAGCAGAGAAGTGATACAGTACTTACAGAAATGTGTTAAGCAAAGGATAATGTCGTCTGTTACTTACAGTTAATGTTTGAAATTCAGGAAAGGCAATTTCTATTCAACACTTTCAAAATTGTTTCTGTAATATGCTAACTATTTTTTTCACTTTCTGGATGTAAACAGATAATCTGACTATTTGATCATATCAAGGAGGAAATAGGGAAGAGAATGTCTGTTGGAGAAGTAGCAAGATATAGGTAATAAATGCTGAAATCGTCATTCCTTCATTATGTTCCTTCCAGATTATAAGAGAAGGAAAGCTTTTGATTCAAATAACCAATTCTTCTAGCTCATGAAGCATTATCTACAGACTTCCAGCTTTCCTATGCACTTTGCATTCCCTCTCCTCTTAAGTCAGCACAAACCCCACCAGTAAACACTGTGAAAAAGGCAGAACTATTACATCACTGCATTCTACCTACCAAGCTGTTATTTGCCTAATTTCAAGTAGCACTATGCCACATGAAAGAAGTACCTGAGGGAAAGCTTCTTGCAAAAGAACTACAAACTCTAGAGGGGGGCTGTATTACATTTTAGAACTTTTTTTAGTGGGGAAGCATAAAATTATTACTGTATCTTAACATGAAAATGATAATAACTATGTGATGCTCATGTTATAGTGACTTGGATTTTATTAGTCAAATAAACATTTGTAAACATAGAGTTTGTAAACAGAGTTAACAGTGGAATTAACAGATTATAGTACACAAAACTGGAAAAAAACCCCAATAAATATTGCACTTAATGATTGCATCCTACACAAGTCCCCTAAATTTAATGTCACCTCAGAACCAGAACGTCTGTAAACTTCACCACATTCAGGTGCAGAAGAGGCCTGGATAGCCCGAGGGATTGGTGATGGTCTATGCATTCCTTCTGCCTTTTAGCTTTTTGCAGAGTCCCTATCACTTTGAAGTCTATACTACTTTCCACCTTAAGGTTATGAGCCTGAACCTCACCTGCTGAATGAAAGTGATGGTCATTTGCAGGGCTGTATGAATGAGGTGGCCAGTGTGTTCTCATTCATGGTGAGCAAGAGAACACACTACTAAACCTGTCCTGGTGGAGACAGAATGACATTTAGGATGCTGAGGATGTAATTCTGGCTCTGTTACAAACCCCTTGAGTGATCTGGGCACAGCACTCCTCTCCTACTCCACCACATTTGTACTTGGATTTATAACCTCTTTAAGAAAATTGTCACTGCCACCACGGGACTCTGATTTCGTCTGAGCTAGTAGCAATAATATGTTTTAAAAGTTCACTTTAAAGGCCAGAAATCACAAAGAGAAAACTTAATGACCACCAAGCTGTAAAGAAGAACACTGGAATGTGTCTCCTGGTTATAACAGGCAAATCTGATCAACCAGCAAAGGATTTTCCTTTTGTTTTCCTGTTTTGTCTGAGACACCTTCCTCAGCAGTCTTTTAAAACAATATTTAGTAACTATTTCCTCCATGTATTGAAGCTGTAATTTGTCTTTTAATTGATACGGGCATACTCTACCTAGACAAATTAGGCGACCAAGTAATGATGTATAACTCTTCGAGGAGAGAGTAGCAGGTACTATTGAGTTAAATAGGTTTTTAAAATGGGAAAGCCCTTGATAAGGGAAAGCAATACAGGGGCGACTGAATTAAAACAAAACAGAACAACAAACAACAAAAAAAAAAAAAAAACCAAAAAAAAAAAAAAACAAAAAAAAAAAAAAAAAAAAAAAAACCTAAAAAAACCCCAAACCAAAACAAACTAACTATATATTCCACTCTTTTAGGAAATAGACAAATAACAACTTTATTCAATTTTCAATAACAGTTACCTAGTAATAATAGTAGTGCCTCACTTATATAGAAATGTACTCTTTCCTGCATGTTTTAGAACCGAAATTTTTCCCAGAAAGGAACATTTTTTTTTTCCCAAATAAGTAGGTGCTATCTCATCACAAGAAATCAGGTGGTTGGAAAAAAGAAAAGGATCAGGGGAATTTCAATTGATGCCAGTAATTCACTGGATTTCAAAGCCATCAGTGCTGCTCCCAAATTCCGCAGGTTTTGCCTTTTTTCTCTTCTGCCTTGGGTATCTGCACCAGTTGGTTTCAGAGGTTTGTTAAAGCCAGCTCTCATCATAATCAAGTGTAAATATAATGCAATGTACAGGTGGGCGATGCAAATGGATGTCCCACCCGAAACTGCTGGCCTCAAACCGGCACTGCTGGAACAGATATATCTATTTCACCCTACACGGTAAAAAACAAAACAAAACAACCTCACAAATTAATTCCTGAATATTCTGATCCTTTAAAAATAGTTGACGGTACAAAAGACACCCATTAGCCTTAAGTACTGCCAGTTTCACTTTGAATGGCCACAGCTTGGCAGGTAGTTGGGAGAAGAGAGAAGGCATTCGAGCTGGGACAAGGGCCATGCTTGGGGGGCTTCCCTGCCCCCGCTTTCGGCAGGGGGAACAAAGGTCGGGGGGGCACTTCCTGCCCCTGCCATTGCTGTCTGCATGTGGGACCAATATGGGCAATGCAAACCTTAAACAGTTGCAAATGGGGGAGGGAACATCGGGGCTTGTTTTACATATGTTTTTTTCCTGGCCGGGTTGAATTTAAAGTGGAGCGGCCGCATTGTTCGAGAGGCTCCTTGCCCCTACGCATTGACAGGAGCTGCTGTTTACACGGGCTTTTCATTCCTGCGCTGTTTGCTTATGGAAAATAAGGGGGAGTGACAGAAAAAGAGAGAAAGGGAGAGGGGAAGAGAGCGGGCCGGGAGCCTCGGCCCTGCCTGGCCATTGCCCCGCGCGGAGGCGGCTGGCCCGGGCTGCCCGGCCTGGCCCTGGCACGTGAGCGGCGCGGGCTGCCGGCCCCTCACGGCCCCTCACGGCCCCGCGGGCGGCGGTGCGTGCCTTTCCCCGCCGGCACACACACGAACTCACTTATTACACCCCCAGAGCGCGCCTCCGCCTTGACTGCAGACATGAGGCTCCAGCTGCTGCTGTGGGTCGTGCTTGTGCTCCTGGCGAGCCTCCTCCCAGCCGACGGACAGCGGCCAGGTAGGCGATGCCTCAGCGTGATGCTTGTGCCGGGGCGGGAGCCGGGCGTTCGTGCCGGCCATGGGCACCTCGGGCGCGTTCGTCCAGTGTGTGCCCTCGGCACGAGTTTGGACCTGGCGCATCCATCTGTGCGCTTCATCCCTACTTCTAGCGGCAGCGGGAGAGGATGCTTCGCCTCTCCCAGGAGTCTGGCAACTTTGGGGGAGGCGGGGGGTTGCTGGGGGGAGAGGAACAGGGATAAATTGGGACCCAAGGTGGGCAACTGTTGCAGACTTGCTACCGGGAAAGACCGGCGGCGCGGGAGGGCACGGGCACCAGGGAGCACCGGGGCCGGCCCAGCTGGGGAGAGGCACTGCCGGCGGCCCCTCTCACGCCTCGCTTCCCTCCCTCCCTCTCTCTGTCCGCAGCCAGCCTGGCGCTGCGCAGGAAGCTCCACCGGCACGGCTGCTCGCACCGGCGCTGCATGCCGCTCCACTCCAGGGTGCCCTTCCCCTGAGCGGCCAGGTAAATCCGCGCGCGGGGCCGCAGCGAGCGCAATTGGCTCCTGCCCTTGGAGCAGCGCGCGGGGCACGGCTGCGCCCGGGCTCCCCTGCTCTGGTTTGGGAACGGGGCTCTGGAGCTGCGCGCGGCGGGCCGGGCGCTGTCCCGGGGCTGGGGCGCGGGTCCCGCCGCACGCTGCAGCTTTCTCCCCCTTCCAGGCCACCCCGCCTGCCAAATGCCTTCTTGAGGCAGTGAAAAACAACTGAGCCCGCTGATGGGGCCGAACGCTGCCTTCCGAGGCTGTTGGCAAGGCTGCGGGGCAGAGTGTCGCTAGTGCAAGGGCTGGGAAAAGCGGCGCTTGCAGAGGATGCTCGGGGCTGCAAGCGATGACACTTCCCCCGTGTGGGATGCAGGGCGAAGCCGCCTCACTCTGCCCGTCAGTAACATGAAGGTAGCAGCACTCAACCCACTTCAAAGGGGACTGTAATTCTTAATCACTGTCAGCAAAAGACCTTCAGCTCCTTGGATGAAAGGCTATACAAGTGCAAAACATTAATGCTTTATAGCTGATGAGGGCAGATACATTCAAACACTAAGTGACCGCAGGAGCACACAGGTAGAATATGCTAATGGGCAGGCATCAAAAGGAAACCAGGCTCTCTTTGCAATTTAAGAATGAATAAAACATGCAGTCAGTAGTTTTGCATCCCTCATTATATATTAAAATAATGTTGTAGCCCCAGGCATGTCAGCATCTTAAATAAATGGTGGCAGAATCTGTATTCTGGAGCCAAAATGTTTTGATTTACTACGTGGTTAACAGTGAAAAGGAGTCTAAAGTAAAACTTTTAACAACCCTATACCAAGCATCTTGCCAATGCATAAACTGCCTTGGTGAAAAGAACCAACACCACTCCCAAAACTGCCATGCAAAAGGGTACCATTCCACTCTATAGTGCTGGCCCATAAACACCTGGAATGTGCATATGGGATGGCAAACTGCAAGTTTGTGAGGTTGAAAAAAAGATTGCCATATCTTAAAGTGAATCTCAGATGGGCTGCATACTGAGTGCCGGAATTGAGATGCAAGTAGAAAGGACATGCCAGAAGGATGCTTTACTACTGAATGCCACGCCTCCTCACTGCTACATTTAAACAAGAGACAGATTAAATCATACTCCATCATCAGTTTAAGCTTGAAACTAAAAAAGATAAAGCAATTGGATTGATTCACTCAGCAGGCAGAGACTGAATGGAGAGGGACAGAGGAATTTAGACCCAGTGGCTTTGTGATTCAATTGTGAATTATTTGTTTCAGTTCCTAAGAAGAGAACATTTAACCCCCTTCCATTCAGCATCCATGTCTGGAAATTGTGTAGAAGGCACCTACACTTTCTGTGAAGTGCTCTGAAGCCTCATATAATGGATGCATTTTGCTTGAGACTGCAGTAGCTGCATATACCCCCCATATTCTGTGGGGAATTCCTTTCCTCACAGAATATGAAGATAAAAGGTACTTTCAGGGTTATCTCCTTTTCTTTGGGGAGCTGATTTCTTGTAATAAAAGTCAATGACCAAACAAAACAGTGTACTTACTAATTCTCAGTAAATGTTGTAGACATGTAGCTAAAGATCCTTCTGCTTTATAAAACTGTTTAGAACTCAGTAAACCTCTACCAGGGCGTAAGGGGAGACAGGCACCTGAACTAACTCTCTTAACTTCAGTCATTGTGGGTGCTATCCTTTATCTTAAGTAGGATTTACCACCTACATTTACATTCCCTTCCAGTTTTAGTCCAAATTCAGCAAATATTTACATGCCTGGGTTGCTTGACTCACATGAGTAATCTTATTGATCTCAGTGGAGTTGTACATATGGATAGAGCCATTTGCAGATGCAAACAGGATGCGCCCTTAAGCCTGAATTTCAACTAGCGGTTGGAAACTAAAATGAGCATAGCAGCTTCTTGCAGCATTTGGAATGAGAAGATTGAATTTGATTTTTCATTAGTTCCATACACAAAACACAGGACAAAAAAAATGGCAGAAAGTTTTATATTAGCAGCCTTCTTGCTTTTGTCTTTTTTCCTCCAACTTTGTAGCTGAAATTTCCAAATTAAGAAATATTATAATAAATAATATTATTCTGTTAATAAAGAATAGATCCTATTTTATATGAGACTTATTTAGACTACTAAATTTCTCATTAATATTTATCTCATTTTCTTCTTTTTTTCCCCCAGCCACTTCATTCTGTACTTTCCAGTGTTTTAAAGGAGCAACAGTTAAACCGATAAGAGAAGTTTGTCAGAAGTCCAGATCAACAACAGCTGACCTGACAGCCACCACAGTGCCACCTTCAGCAGTCCTGTCTGTCACATTCTACTGGGCCTGGACCTGGCCCCTGTCTCACACCCTGAGAAGTGGTGGGGGCTGAAGTGTGGTGATAGGGGATGTACATGAACTTACCTGGTGGGATCATTCCCTGCAAATTGTTTGGCTCTCACAGTGACTAGTGAAAGTCAAAGATCAAATCAAACATCAGGTAGATTTTGATCTGAGCTAGATTTCTGGTGGCAGTAAGAAGGAAGGATCTGTCCAAGGGCACTCTTGATGGTATATTCAGACTGAGTGAAATTGAAAGTACTGTTGACTACTCAGTTCAGGCTGATGAAATAGTATCAGACTCCAGTATGGAATTCTGAAAGTCCATTTTTTGTTTATACTTTTATATATTAATAATATATACATATATGTTTTAACATCTAACATCTTTATAGAATTACCTTAATAAAAACATAGAATGCATTACTCTAATAGCACCAAAGCCAGCACCACACTAGTGGTCCCACTGGCTTCATGTATAGTAAGCATAGTAAGAGTTTACAATATAAGAAAGCAAAGAGAGTGTTATCCCTCATTGTGTAGATAGAGAATTGAAGCACACAGAGATAAGAGATTAGCCAAGGGTCATGCCAAACTGATAACTCAGATCTCTCAAGCCAGGCCTTAAGGTCAAGCCCATCCTCCTGTCTAATGAGCTGTTACTGCAAAGCCTATCATTTGTTTTCTTAAAGTGGGCTGCCAAACCAGACAGTTAAACATGCTTGAAAATTCAGTACTACAGAGCTATTTGCTTAATAGTAGTTTTCCTAAAATACCAGCTACAGTATTATAAATAGAGCATAAAAATAGACCATTGAAAAGAATCCTTTGTTTGGTCAGCCTTAGTGTTGCATAGCACTCTATTCCTGTAATTTAAATGAATGGGATATTTGAACATGGCACTACAATGAATGAAGACTTCAAACAGAAAACAGGCTGTTCTTTTCAGCACTGGAGGTCAAGAATACATTGAGCTTTTAGTCTGAGTTTTGGTCTTAAAAATACGTGCTTCACATCTGCCTTTTATATCAGCAGAAATTACCTACCTACATACAAAGGAAAACGTGATAGCCCTTTCATTAGCATAACCAAAACAACCTGAAAATAAAATTACCCAAATTTTTAACTCATTGCACTAGACTTTAAATGCCAACATTTTTTACAAAATATATAAAGACAATCAAAGAACAGAAGTGTTGAGGTTTAAATCTGGTAATAAATTTTTAAACTTACAACACATAGTTTCTAATAATTGAAAGAACAACAATCAAAAAAACTGGATAGTTGAAACTTTCTAATCAGTGTGCATATGTAACCCCTTATCTCTAAGAACTTGAAACTTTACTTGAATTAATACTGGCAGAGTTTAATAGGAGTTACAAATTTTTCTCCATGAAAAAAAAATTAAAATGTAACTTCAGACCCAGTTCTGGAGTTGTGTAAAACCATCATAAAAAGATGGTCAAACTTATCTAAACCAACAAGCAGTCCTGCAGGTAAACGTTTGGAGTCCTGAAAAAAAAAGCAGTTTCCCAAAGAAGCGTTCTACCACTTACATATATTTCAAAAATTATTTATTGAACTTGGCTTTGATATGTATCCTTGGCTAACTCTGTTTAGAACTACAGGTAAAGAGTGTGGGAAAGCAAGAGACGTGACGAGTAACTATTTAACAATTATGTCTTATGAATGAGTATATGGATCTATTGTGGCACTGGATCTTTTATATAACCACAATTATTCAATTAACTTTGATAAAATGGTAAAAAATACATAATGCATCTATCAAATAGCTATAAATGCATGTTCCTTCACAAAGGTAAAAATAAAATAGCACCCTAGGAAGCCGCCTATCAATCTACAAAATTATTCTAAATATCTGTTTTTTAAAGGCATTCTGATACCATCAGATCTGCTTTGAAAAAAGGCATTAATTGTGAGCTTCAATAGATATGTTTATCAACTAGCTGGTTGATTGTATATTTTGTAAAAAGATAGTATGCATTTCAAATAATATCTTATTTGAAATAAATTTTGTACACTCCTCAAAGTTTGTATTCTTCAGCTGTCAAAGGCAATGCATCTAAAGAAAATTGAGAAGTTGACTATTGTCCCTGTGGATTCATATAAGAGTTAGTGTTTGAAAATTTTTTACTCAATTTCTGACACAAATAAATGATAGCTAATAATGGAAAAAATTTCCTGACATCTTCTGTCCTTCTAAAAATGCAAAATTCTGATTCAAGTCAGATTTGCATTTGACTTTGTAGAAACTGTTTCCATTTGATGTGCAAAACATAAGGCTCATGGTAAGAATGGCTTTGTGTGATTACAGTGTGACCACATCTATAAATTTGAATAATTTGGACACAGTCCTGCAACAGCCAAACTGACTGAGCTCTCCCTGTGCATGTACCAGTGTACATTTGAAGGCAGCTTGCACAAGTACAAATTGCTGTCAAAGTCAGAATTGGTGTTTGCACAGATGAATCTAGCAAGGCTTGATCCCAAGATAGATTAAGACCTCAAGTTCTGGAAGGCAAAATGTGAGTTTCTAAAACATTGAGTTAACTCCTTGTCTTGTACTTAATTGTAATATGGGAAAAACGAAAACATAATTTGAAAGTACATTTTATTAAGTCCTGTAACAGCAGGTCAGCAGGAAACGGAGGTAAATGCAAGGCTTTGGTGAGAAACAACAGTTTAGCGTGTTCCCAAAGGATAATAAACAATTCACCTCTTCCCTTTCCAGTATGGAAAAAAGGAAATTATAGGAGAATAAAGACTGGAAATATTTCCCTTACGCCACATACACATGCTATAAATATCTCAGTGTCTACACAAAGCCAAATTTTGCTAAGGGTCACAAAATATTTAAATTTACATCAATCAGGAGAAACATTACTATGGCAAAGAAGTTTCAAATGTTGACTATCAGAGTACAATTAGCCAACTGATCTCTCACTACTTGCTCTTCTACTGGCCTCTCTCTTCTAGAGATCAGCTGCAAAATATTTGTGCAAAGCAGGAAACACTCCAACAGCACAAACAGGGCAACACGGCTTTTAGAAAGAAAGCCTAACTCATTTCAGGGCTGAAGCTGCTTTTCCATGTCTCCAGTTACCTGTTCAGACTGTTTTCTGCCCAGGTCTGTGGTCCTTGCTGCAACCTTGTTTTTTAGATTAAGGACTTCCCGTAGAGCAAGCCTGCTTAACTCCATCTTAGTTACTTACTTGTTAGTATGGAACCTTAAAGCAGGAAAACACTGTTAAAATCTTTTACAATGAGTGATTTCCCTCACAGAGTGAAATACTGAAGTGTCTGTACAGAATATCCAGTACGAGCAATTCAGAAAGACAAAACAGAAATACTGACTGAGAGTTTTCCCTCATGTAAGATGTGCATTCACAAGAGATCACATCTTGTCTTTCCGGTGTACAGAATATTTAGCACAGTTCAGCATTTAATCTAAAAATTATTAAAACCTCACAATGTGAACATTTTTCAGGCAACCCAACATATTCCTTAGGTGGCACAAAGTACTTATTTTCTTAGACCTAAAACCCATATATATTGGTTTTCTAGACATAAAAAGCTACTGGGGTAGCACTGAATAATAAAAAAGAGGATAAAATAATGATACATTATTTTAATTTTTATTTTAAGGTACGGTTTAAGCATATATTAGGAAACATTTCTTCACTTTTGTTATCTTCCTGCTGCGCCAGTTGCAATCAGGTAGCTCTTACCAAGACCTGCAAATACAGATTGATTTCAGCAGCTGTGGTTACATAGGGTATCACTTCAGCTGTTCAGAATAACAGCTTTGTGGGCTTGCCACACCTCACCAGAGCAGGGCTTTGTTGGTGGTTAGCAAAGTACTACTCTGCAGCAGAGCACATGCAAACCCGTGCTCACAAAGCAGCACCTTTTGCCCCCCTGAAACTTGGACCCAATGCTCCAGTGCTTACTGCGTGCACAGCACACCACGGATTTCACTTCAGACAGTACAACCCATGAGCAGGTGCTGGCACTGCAGGGACAGGCACCCAGGCTGCCACACTGGGCACGGACAGCACTGGCCACCCCAGCACCCAACCTTGCAGCAGCAGAGAGGCATCTGATAAACAGGATACAGCAGAACCAGAACAATTAGGAGTCATTGTTCAATTTAGCACTGTGGATGTCAGACACAGCAAGGTCACAGCTGAGCTTCATCTCCCTTGCACAGCAGCAGCCATTCAGCCCTTCCACGTGGCCTGTGAAGCAGCTGATTGCACACAGGCCCCTGAGCACCTGCAGTGAGCTCAGCCACGGGCAGGGTGGTGACCAGGAGGAGGCAGGTGCCTGCAGAACCAGAACACAGGTTCTGGTGCCCAGGCCCACAGAGCCCAGAAACACCATGCCATGCACTGGGGCAGGCAGCACAGGGGAACCTGGGGTTGGGGAATACTTCTGCCTCCAAACAAGGCTGGCCTTGGCCCATCTGCTGCAGACAAGGGGCCTGGGTCTGTCACACACAGCAGCAGCTCCTACTTGACAATTCACTGCAGCTCTACCATGGCCAGTGGTTCAAGTGTTCAGAGTGAGTACTACAGATAACCAGCTTCCAGCTGGAGCCCATACAAATGTTAAAAGCCTCCACCCTGCCCAAAGAAAAAGCTTAAAAAGACACTGAGAAAACAAGACATAGTTGGGAGTATGATAAAGATATAAAACTGGGGCAAGGGGTGGGTGGTTGTTATCATTTGTTATCACTTATGTACTTAGGAAAGGTAACATTTAAAGGGCAGAAGATGTACATGTGTGCACACAGAAAGCTATACTTGCTTTTTTTTCCAGTCACCATGTTCCACAGAAAGCAACACCACTGGTTAATCCAAGGTTTACCTTGAGCAGTCAGAGATAAGAGGAAGGTTTGAGTAATGACCTCAAAACAAGGGAAAGCCATTCTGCCTCACTATGCAGCATTCTTCTCAATGCTGGAAAGAAATACAAGTGGCAGAGAAGTCTGAAGCATGATGGAAAGACACATTATCCAGAAAGGGGAATAAAGCTAAACTTAAAGCTTCAAAACAAGTGAACAGCTATCCTTGTTTGGCTAGTTTTAAGTGCCAACACTGCTGTAAGAACTTCAGCATAACAGAAAAATCTGCAGGTTGCTTGTTGGAACCATCTGTACATGAGCTTGGAAATAACAGAATTCACACTCTTCTTGGTTGCATTTATTGTGCATGGATTTCACAGTCACATTTTACTGGTTTTCATAGAAATTATATAAATTGACATAGAGAGTCACATCAAAACCTGAGTTCTAAAAACAAGTAACTTTATTCCATACATGTATACTATAAAATTCTGGCTGCATTTTCAAGAAACAACAGCTAAGGAGAACAGTCTAATGTTGGATAGCAGCAAAGCCTCCAATATTTATTTTGCTCTGAATGAGACAACCCCCATATTTTTTGCACACTAAACTGTCTAGGTACTTCTAAAGTTGTGCCCTAACACCAAAGTAGGATGCATTAATTTTCCTTTCTTATATTCAACTACAAGACCATTCCTCTTAAGAGTCTTCTTCCCAGTTTTGATTAGTGATTACCCTATCCCCAGAGAGGTATTGGCTTCTAAAATAATTCTTTGTCTACATTGGTAGACAAAATAGTACCCAGAACAAAATGTTTCTTTCACCAGCCTTAATTCACCATAAATTAAAACCAAGAATTCTTGTTTCTTCAACTTCTAAAAGACCTTCCTGTCTTCTGCTGCTTTCCACTTCCCCACATACACCACTTCAACTTTTGAATCAAGATGCTGACTTTCTTGAAGGGCCAAAGTGAAGAGCAAGTATGTAACAAGTATTTTTGACAACATCTTTAAAAGCATTCAACACAAGTTAGTTACCAGATCAATGGAAAAGCTCATGCTCAAGTATTTTTGCTTTGTTAGTTCAGTTGGCAGACTAGGAGTCCTGTTACTAACACAAACTCCTAGTAATGGGATAGTAATAAGGATCCCTCTTAAGAGCTTTAAAGCCAGAATTCTGAACAATTGCTTATCACGGCATGGTTTTTGTACCACAAACTTGTATGTGAGATTAACAGTTTTAGGCCACCCACCACTTTTTTATAATCCCAAATTGGATGCCAAATTTCTCCACTTACCTGACAAAGGAGAAAAGGAGACATCTAGAAAACAAGTACCTGTATTGGATTACTGAAGTAATCCACACCTCTATCCCTGGAAGTAAAGGGAATCAGTGACAGAACACATCTAATCTCAGCTTCAGAAATAGAATATATATATATATATCCCTTGGAAAGTCAGATTTTTCTACAGAACAAATTTGTATTCCAGAAATATAAAATACTTTGGTAGCCTGAAGCTTAATGGTTACACAGCAGTACAAAATAATAACAACAACTGGGCAAAGTTAAACCATTAACTCAGGTCCAACTTTAACTTATGAGGAATTAAAAATCCTTGAAGCCGCAGAACTTTTTTCCAGGACTGAGGATTTGAAGAGAGCCAGAGTGTCCAGTTGTAATAGGTTTATAGTTTATGCACAGCTTATCCTTCCAGCTTAACTTGCATTTCAAAACGTGAAAGATGACTGAAGAGTCACATCTGTACAAGCCAGTCTGGATATTACATTACTTCACGTTCTCCTCCAGAGCTCTTGCAGGAGTTTCCCAAATGCTGTTAGGTTTTGATTTGCTGAGATGTTAACGCCAACAGTCTCTTGCTGAGCAGTGCATTGTGTCGCTGGAGATACTCTATTACATCTCCTTGCTTCTCAACTATCTCTTCTAAACTGGAATTTTCCCTTGAGTAACAAAAGTAAATATGGGTTTCAGTAAAAGACAGCAGCCTTCTAATATGTGAAATATCAGAGCTAATTAACACATACTTAAACAGTTGTTTCTTTTAGTTTCACTTTTCCTGGGATCAACTAATTTTTGAGAGAAGAGGCAATCTACAACACCTATATGTGTAACTCTATTTTGCACGAGAATGTAGAAAGAACTTCATGCCATGTATATAGAACTGAGTTAGATATTTCCTGCTAGACAGTTACAGAGTGAGGATCTTACTGTTTAAGAAACCAAGACAGACAATATGCTAGAATTGTAGCAACAAATGTGGAACCCTTCCCAC